TACGATCTCTGACACGCGCATTTCCGGCCTAGCATGTGAACACCCCGAAAGCACTAGTTGGGTTCCTCACCTGTATGAAACCAACCAAACATCGATCCGGTCCAGTGGATGGATGCATGCTCTATGTGGCACGAAATTTGTCGGCCGAGCCAGTCAACGGACCGGATCGATGCTACCGGAGGGAATCCATTGTAGACCAACGCTCCATCAATGTCCAGTGTGTGTGCTACGTCCACCTAAGACAAACATAGTTCCGTCAACCCTAAAAACCTTAAACCCTAAACCTTGATAACCCTAAACACCCCCCACTACACCGTAAAATCATTCAAATTTTTGCCCCACATGGAAACCATTATGCATGCATTCTCTATGGGGTCATGAGATGCCATGAAAAAAGTTTGGGATTATACACGCAAGTATGATCTCTGACACGCGCATTTCCGACCTAGCATGTCAACACCCCGAAAGCAATAGCTGGTTTCCTCACCTGTATGAAACCAACCCAACATTGATCCGGTCCAGTGGATGGATGCGTGCTCTATGCGGCACGAAGTTTGTCGGCCGAGCCATTCAACGGACCGGATCGATGCTACCGGAGGGAATCCATTGTAGACCAATGCTCCACCAATGTCCGGTGTGTGTGCTACGTCCACCGTAAGACAAACATAGTTCCGTCAACCCTAAAACCCTTAAACCCTAAACCCTGATAACCCTAAACCCCCCCCCCCCACTAAACCGTAAAAACATTCAAAATTTTGCCCAACATGGAAACCATTATGCATGCATTCTCTATGTGGTCATGGGATGCCATTAAGAAAGTTTGGGATCATTAGTACATATACATGCAAGTATGATCTCTGACACGCGCATTTCCGGGCTTGCATGTAAACACTCAACCCTAAACACTGAACCCCTAAACCCTAAACCCTAATAACCCTAAACCCCTAAACCCTAAACCCCTAAACCCCTAAACGAGTTGACAAGATTTCTTATTTCTTTATATCATTTATCCAACTCACATAACTCACGCGGCCCACCCCTCCCTAAATCCCGCGATTACAGCTCCGCATTCTAACCACCCGGGCCGTCCGCACCTCCCACGACCGCTGCAAGATCAGATCGGAGACACCGGTCGCCCACGGAATACAGGAGTCGGCGGCCACCACTCGCCGCCCACCGCCAACGTGATCTGAGGGCTCGGACGTCAGTGTTCTTCTCTCCGCCTCCACCTCGCGTGAACGCGCCGTTTTTCCTTTGTGCCGTCGACCGCGCGATAGCGGCACTTATAGTTTCCGATGCACTAACCGCCGCCATCTACTGGGTGGCACCGTCTCCGAGATAAGGTATTAGCTGATCGTAACTCTTTATAATCGTTGTCCGCCGCTACTTTAGTTGTTGAACCCTCATAGGTTTTGCACCCAAATAGGTTCTGTGCTTAAACCCATAAGTGGATCATATGTTAAATGACCCAGTTAATTTTGTTAAAATTAATTCTCTGCTAATTTTGTTATACATTTTCCAATTTTGTTCAGATTAATTGAGCCGGATTTTATCATTGCATACGAGGCAGCAATGTCAGTTTCAGATACGAACCTTCATAATGGAGAAAAGCCCATCTCCGAAACTACCGATGCGGTAAGTAATTGACTGTTTGTGTACAATCGTTTCGTACACATAATTCATGTGTACTCAGTAAAATTTAATGGAATGTAACAGGAACTCGCCGAAAAGCATGGTCATATGAAGTTAGTATGCTCACAGACAAGGTTCGGAAAAACCATGAAACTGTTGTCACAAGACCACAAATAGTACATCATATCAGAAACCAGTCTTGGCGGTCTAACCCAGATGCATGAAGTGACTCTACGGCGCATAATATTGGTTAGACTAGCCAAGAGCATAGATATGGACACGAAATCCATTACCATCGGTAAAACGCCAATTCCTATAACAAAAGAGGACGTGCAAGGTATATTTGGCATTCCGATAGAAGGGGAGGATATAGAGCCACATCTGGAAAATCAAACCGACACAGAATTGTTTACCGCCTATGCAAACAATGGGCAAATTTTGATTTCTGACCTTGAAACGGCGATCCGAGCTTCCAAAGCCCTAGATGGCGATTTCCTGAGACGGTTCATTCTGTACGCAATTGGTACTGTTCTAGCACCAACAGCACAACATTATGTGGACTCGAAATTTCTCAACCTTGTTCCAGATCTTGAAAACCTTCGGAAATTTAACTGGGCATCTTTCACACTTAATCACTTCTTCAAATCCGTTCACAAGTTTAGAAATCGAGATCACGTAAATCTACAAGGAAATCTAATTCTGCTCTAGGTTAGTGCTAGATCACTACTTAATATCCTTTAATTATTGTTTTGTTGCATATCTGCATGGTGATGAACTAATTTATTGTGTAGTATTGGTACTGGGAGCACGTGCGTAGTGGCCGATTAATGTATGCTTCTAGACCCCCTCCATTGGTCGCACGATGGGACGAAATGATGGCTACTTTAAGAAGCGATGCTTACGAGAAAGGAGGTCTTCATAACGGGCTGGTACCTATCTACAATTGAACTTTCTATATCCGATTTTTTATTTGGTACTAATGGTTCATTATATTTTAAAAAAATAGGCTGTCATGGAAATTTGTGCTCCTCAACGACCGTCCAAGAATTCTAATAATTTTCCAAGAAAAAAAGATGAACATGTGCATCAACATGATTCGTATCGAGCACCATCACAAGGACAACAATTTAGTAGCCAGCAAGTATGTACTCCAAAGACTATTTGTTTTTGCAATATCACAAATAGGTTTCATGGAACCTCATTCATTTAGCTATTGTTATCAACGGGGTTTTATTTTGTTTACACAGATTGAAATGGTAGTTGAAATCATGAATGCACGCATTGCTGATCATGAAAAGAAGGTAGGCAGGAAGTTAATGGAAGTTGAGCACAGATTTGATGTCAAATACCAGACTCTAGGTGAAGACTTGATCGACATGAAGACTAAAACTGGCACTAGTCCTAGGTTGTCACAGGCCGAGGATGAAATTAAAGACTTAAGGAGGGAGCTCCATGTATGTCATACTGTGCATTTTGTATTTTTTATGAATATGTTCCTTCATGTTCATTATTGTTTGCATTGTTACAGGACTTAAAATACGAATTTACAAGCAACCGACAATCAGTGTCACAGAAAGGAGGCGTGCAGGTGATCAATATGGCCCAACACGTTAATATCTAAAAGTAACAAACTAATGATGAACTACCTTTGTTCATTGTAGGATCAAGTCAATGTGTGCAATTCATCCCTGACAGGAACTCCTAGGGCTAGCCAATTCACGACAGGGACTTCGAGTACACCAAGTGCAAGACATGTGACGGAAAACAATGAGGAACCACAATTAACTCCGATGAAGCCTGTCTTTGGTAATGATTACAAGATCACGGATGAGGACATAGAGACAGCCGTTTACATCCGCGGAACATACGACCCTGTTGAAATAACTAGAATCGGAGACATTACCCTCACAGCAGAAAATCTGAAGCGAAATTTGGACGACAAATACATTTATGGTGATGTAAGCCCATTATACTCTATTCTACATCATTACTGTAACAACTGTCTTATTATTGTATGATTGAAAATTTGGCAGGTTATTATGGCATATGCTAGCATTAGCCAAATTGAGAATGATACTACCTCTATCATATCCCCTCAAGAAACCGAAAAGCTGTTACAAATGAAGGGGGTGGCTCCTGTTGGACGTGCAGCCTCATGGTTAGCTCGTGTAGCAGGAAAATTTGTAGGGCGCCGAAAGGTACACGACAAATTTCGGTTCTCAACCCAACCCAAATTTTACTGCAGGTGCATGTCCCACTGAATGTACACCAAAACCATTGGATGCTAATGATGTTTAATTTTGACAAAAAAGAAATTCAGACTCTAAACTCCATGAATTATCATTGCGACAAGACCAAGGAAGATTCTTTTGTAAGTGTTCTCTTGCTGCCTCTTTTGATCCGCATGGAACATGAGCTTCCAAAGTACCGTAACCCTATGTATAACTCGTCGTACCCTAGGTGGACTCAATTCAGTTCTGCATTGACGAATCTGTCAAGAAAGGGTTGATATCACGAGCTAAGAACATGAATTTTGCCGAATGGACCAAAAACGCTATGAGAACATACCACAATAGACCGATGGGTACGCATGGCCTCATAAATTATTATTTGCGTACACGAATAAGATTACTGATCTTTAACTAAACATCGCAGGACTTCCTGTGCGGTTTGGACACTGCAGTACATGTTGTCATGGAACAGGGATGAAATGACCGATATTTTGAACCAGGTAATTGAATGCCTAATTTAAATTTGTACTTCGTTTAGCTTGAAAGCTATGCTGACGTCAGTGTCGGTTATCCAATATAGGCAAGGATAGATATTTTCGGGTGGAAAATATGTACAACCTTACTGCATTCAAATTGCAATGCGCTTCGTCTCGAATCATATAAGTTCCCCATAACTGTTAGCGCTACATCAAGAATATATCATTTATTTCACAAGTCTCATGATTAGAACTAACGCATCACTCTCTCTTATACAGAAGGAGGTGTACGATGCCCAGCAAGCAGTTCTACTTGATGCTTCAGAAGAGGACATACAATTAGTCAACAATCCTGATGGTTCCAACGAACCTGACACATCCAACTCTCAGAAGGATACCGGTGCACCCAACTCCCCCAAAAATGGTGCAACCAACTCCCCCAAAAGGAAGAGAGCACGTGGACGCCCGAGAAAGCTAGTCGATCCCGAGGAAGCAGCAAAAACAAAGATTCTTAAAGAACTGAAACTTAAATTTGACAGCAAGACCATAGCCAACCAAGTGTCTTCGTTACCATCACGTTCACGCAGAGAGCATAAACCATCACCAGCTTTATTGAGCCCATTCAAACACAAATAGGTAGCATCAATTGATCATTAATTGATACATGCTCATGCTCATGCTCTACTTTTAGCATAATTTGATACACGTTTTGTTTTTCTTATCAGAAAGTGGAAATAGGTGCTTTTGGCAATCATGAGCATCCTCTACTTATTGCAATATCTAATGCATTGATACATTCTCATGCTCATGCTCTACTTTTAGCATCATTTGATACACGTTGAGTTCTTATCAGAAAGTGGAAATAGGTACTTTTGGCAATCATGAGCATCCTCTACTTATTGCAATATCTAATGCATCATCAGTACAAAGCTTGATTTGGCAGTAATTTGTAGTAGTTGATCGTACGAACTGATTTGCATGCTTTAATTTTGTCAAAAATTAATGCATAGTTCAGTTGTAACTTCTCATAGATATGGTAGGAACATGCTGAGTTATACACTAAACATAGTCATGCCAAGCTATAACTACCATAGTCATATTATTAGAGTTCCTAGCATGCATCACCATACGGCGGAATAACACAGCAACCATAACATAGACCACCGTACGATACTTGACTTGCTAAGGCCTTGTACAATGCAAGGTGCTTAGGGGAGTTGCTTATAGAAATAAACCAGGCTTTTCTTAAGCACAGGTGCTTATTTGTACATGGTAGACGCATAACTAGGCGTCTCTCCTATACAAATAGGCACCGGTGCTTCAGAAAAACCCTGTTTATTTTTCTAAGCACCACCCTAAGCATCTAGCATTGTACAAGGCTTAAACATGCATCACCAAAATAGTATTAACAACTAGGAACACTAAACCAGAGTAGCAGCAAACTCTTAACATAAACGGCAGATCAACCACCGCTCAGCATAGGTTCAGACACACCATAGGACATCAGTTTTAGACTCGAGCAACAAAGAAACATAGATAACATAAGAGGACACAGCGGTCCTGGGGCAGCAGCAGCACTCTAGCAGCACATCACTTCTCTCCCTTCTTCAATGCATGTTGTAGCGCTCATTGACTTTGACAATCTCGAGGAAGCATGCGTATGCAGCATGTTTTGCCAGAGTACTGGCTTTATGCTTCTTACCATGTCCATTGCCAGTGCTGAAGGCATGCTGGATCATGCCATCTATGCCGCCACCGATCACCTTGCAATAGAAAGGGCACCCAATCTTGCCAAAGAAACGGTACTTGATCTTCCCAGCAATCAGATGCCTCAGGGTGTACCGGCTCTTGCTGTGCCTGCTGTCCATGCTGTAGTCCACGTCGTCGTCATCCTCCTGTGAATTAGTGAATTAGTACACATAGAACAACTCAGCTAATCTATTATGGTACATTGACTTTAATTACAATGTTTTGAAAGTACGCATGTGTAACATGGCAACTATCTATTTGCTAGAAATAAGGCATATGTGCACATACATAATTGAGCCAAAGAAATTGACATGCATAAATATGGACGGTGGAATAGTTGCATTTATAGATTAGTGCACAAGTAGTACATAATTAACACATGAAAGACTTCATTAAGTGGCTTGGATTAATGGTATTTGATACTTGTTACAGGTGTAATTCTTATTGGAATCAAAAAAATGGCTTCATTGTACTCCTCCATGTTTCACACAAGGGGGGTTTGTTCTATCTATTGGAATGAAGAAACCATTATTCTTTCTGACAGCGGCAATACTGCTTCTCCAACATTGTTAGACCCTGATAAGTTTCAGAAGGAAATTGGTAAAGGAGCTATGGGGTTTCTCACTGCTCATATTGATGAGAGATGTGGCTGTGATCATCTAGATAACATACCGTGGAAAATTGGCTAGATGAAATGTTTTGATTTTTTGGTATCCAGTGGATATGTACTGTCAGGCCATAATTATAAAGGGAGCGATCACTTCCTTTGCAAAATGGAAATCTGTATAGAATTTGCAAATGGATCATCTATGAACATGTGTGCAACCTAATCATCTATGAACATGTGTGCAAATTAATTCATCTACATAAGCTAAAATGAATCAGCAACTGCAACATTTTGTCACTGTCCTGGGGAATCCAATGGAGAATCCTGCCATATATCCATTGTTTAACCCACTTTTTTCATTAATGTATCCTTGCCATGAACATTTTCTTGTAGCTGGGTTCATTACCCCACTTCTTTCATTAATGTATCCCTTGTGAAACTTCTGCTCATCTAGTTAACAAGACAAACCCCAATGCCATGAAAAAAACCCAGAGTATCTGCTGGAATTAGAATGTGAATCAGATTTAAAAAACCACATCCAACATGAAGATCTATGCTAGATCCCTACAATCCTATATACGTACAACTAGCACACCCAAGTGAAATTGATGCTCATGTAGTTAACAAGAAAAACCCCAATGTCAT